TAATTTTTGTTATCAGTTATAATAGACATTCCTCTGTGTTTGGGAAGTTTTACACCTATGAAATTGAAAAATCCTCAGTAGAAAAAACACATTCACTGACCCAGAAATTTTCTTGCAATACAAACTATAAACCCAAGAATTTAAATAAGCCCATCTCACATAGTGAACTTCTATAGCAAAACCAAGCACTTTAATTTTAGATTCTAATTCAAGACCTGATACTAAAGAATGCAGTATCAGGATTGGAGGAAGACTCATTAATAACCTATGATATGCAGATAACACAACTTTGCTTGCTGAAAGTGAAAATGACTTGAAGCACTTACTGGTAAAGATCACAGACTACAGCCTTCGGTATGCATTACACCTAAACACAAAGAAAACAAAAATCCTCACAACTGGACCAATAAGGAACATCATAATAAATGGTAAAAGATTGACGTTTCAAGGATTTCATTTTACTTGGTTCCACAGTCAATGCTCCATGTAAGGAGCAGTCAGGAATCAAACGATGTATTGCATTGGGCAAATCAGCTGCAAAAGACCTCTTAAAAATGTTTAAGAGCAAAGATAACACTTTGAAGACTAAGGTGCACCTGACCCAAGCCACGATACAGTCAAAGCCTTAAGGCATTTGACTGCTAACCAGAAGGTTGGTGGTTCAAACCCACCAGCCACTCCACAGAAGGAAGATGGGGCGATCTACTTCCGTAAAGATATACTGCCTCAGAAATCCAATGGGGGTCGCTGTAAGTCAGAATCAACTTGATGGCAGTGAGTTTGGGTTTTGGTTTACATGCATGTGAGAGCTTGACAATTTTTAAGAAGGACTGCAGAAGAACTGACACATCTGAATTGTGGTGTCCGCGAAGAATATTGAATGTATGGTGTAGGGCCTAAGGCACTTGACTGCTAACCAGAAGGCTGGTGGTTTAAACCCACCAGCCACTTCTTGGAAAGAAGATTAGGCAATCTACTTCTGTAGCAATACCGCCTTAGAAACCCAAGGAGGGGTCACTATGAGTCGGATCTGACTCAGTGGCAGTGAGTTTGGTTTTTTTTTTTGACAGACTGTCAGAAGAAATGGACAAATCTGTCCTGGATCAAGTATAGGTGGAATACTCCTTAGAGGTGAGTACGGCCAGACTTCATCTCTCATAGTTTGGTCGGAAGGGACCAGTCCCTAGAAAAGGATATCACGCTCAGTAAAGTAGATGGTAAGTGAAAAAGGGGAAGACCCTCAATGATACGAACTGACAAAGTGGCTGCAACAACGGGCTAACGCATGCAGCAATCATGAGTATGGTGCACGACCAGGCGGTGTTTTGTTCTGTCGTCCATGGGGTTGCTATGAGTTAAAGCCAACTCGATGGCACCTGACAACACTTCAAGACTGTAAAGAGCAGTCAGAAACTAGAGAGATTTAATACTAGCTGGGAGAACAAGGACCTACACTGGGGAATCATGAGTCTTACACATGACTTAGGCAAAAGCATTTCCCACAGGAAATAAGGATGGGTCTGGAGGACCCCAGCTGGACTCTCTCCCCAGCCTCATTTCTCTGACGTCAAGAGAGCATCACCACCTCCCAGGACCCCATCAACAAAGTCAGGGCCTTCACCTACTAACCTCCTCCCCTCTTTTTAATTTCATCACACAGTGTGAGAGTTGGCACTGTAGTTTTAGAACTCACAGGAAGGGCTCCAAGACCCAGGGGAAGCCAAGCAAACTGTCTGCAGTGATGGAGGGCTTGGGGCTCACTTTCCTCGGCAACAGCTGCTCTGTCTTCGGCTCTGCTCGGGAGATTGTCATTCAGCACAGATCACCAAGGCCCAGGGTATGGAGGTGAACGGCCCATGGTGCCAGTTCTGAGAGTCACATATGGAAGGTGACCCCAGGCATCCAAGGCTTAAAAACCCACAAACGTGTGAAGGGCCTGGTGACAGTGGAGCAGAGCTTTAGGAAGCTTCCTCGGGCTCACTCCCTTGGTCTCCTCTGCCACCTTTTTCCCTCATCAAGGAACAGGCCCCCAGTAATTCTCACCTAGCCTCACCCCTTTACAATAAGAATAACCCAGTTCTTGGTACTACTCACCATTTCCCTGGTCCAGCTCCAGAAGTTTAAGTGAATGTCCTCTTCTCTAAGCCCAAGAAGCCACTTCAATAAGAGGGATGGTAATGGAAACAGAGCCACTAGGTCATCCAGAGGCAGAGGGATAGTGTGTGGTCCACACGGCCAGTCAGGGCAACTGAAATCTCTCCTTGTGATCGAAGGGATGTGCGAGATGGTCACCGTGGGCCCTCAGCTGCCCAGGCTGGACTAGTTCTCCCTGCGCCTGGGACCTAAAATGGGAGAAGGATGAGAAGACAGTGTTAAGGAGCGAGCGACCGGTTCGTGGCCTTCACCTCTCTCCCTGGGCAGGGCTTCCTCCCGGGTTCAGAGCAATGTTCCACCCTAAGCATGTCTGCATTTACTAAAGAACAAGTTCCAGCCTTCCAGAGAACACACTTGCACTGGGCTTTTTAAAGTAAATGGATCAGCTGGTTATTAAAATGAAGAAAACAAATTAGCAGTACTACTTCTATAACAAAAATGCCAGTGAATTATAATTCTAAATTGTAAAAAAAAAAAAAAAAGACTGTATTAATCACATTGGAGTTAGCAATAATCTCTCCAACAGCACACTTCAAGATTTTGAAATAATATACGTAGCTTTAGTTTGACTCTTTAATATCTCTGTATTTTTTTGTATCTTTTATTATATGTAAAAGGACATCATTTTGTTGCTCTTACAGTCAACAGATTTTGATATACATATAAGGCCTTCATTCTACATTATTACATTTTATTGAAAAAGAAACGTATCCTAGCCATATTACAGATGCCATATACACAACTTACATATCAATTTAAGTTTTACTTCTTCATGTTTAAAATAATTTACTATAATTGTAACCTTCTATTAGTGGTATATTTATTTAAGCAAGAGTAAGGGAGCTCTGGTAGCATAGTGGCGAAGACACTTGCCTGCTAACCAGACGGCTGGCAGTTCAAACCCACCAGCCACTCCTCGGAAGGAAGGTTGGGCAATCCTACTTCCGTAGTGATACTGCCTCGGAAACCCAAGGAGGGGTCGCTATGAGTCGGGGCCGACTCTACGGCACATAACAACAACAACAACAACAACCTGGCAAAATAAGAACCCTAGAGTATAGTACCTAAAGGCATCTGACTGCTCACCTGAAGGCTGGCGGTTCAAACCCACCAGCCACTCCTCGGAAGGAAGACTGGGCAACTTACTTCTGCAGAGATACCGCCTCACAAACCCAAGGAGGGTTGCTATGAGTCGGAACCAGTTCCATGGCAGTGAGGTTTTTGTTTTTTTTTTTGGGGCGGGGGGCGACATGTAAGTTAAATGTTCCACCAACTGAAAGTTTGGCCGTTTGAACCCACTCAGAGGCTCCACAGGACACACGACCAGGCAATCTGTTCCCATAAAGATTACAGCCTAGGAAACTTTATGGGGTCATTTCTACTCTGTCATACAGGCTTGCTATGAGTGGGACTCAACTAGAAGGCAATGAGTTTGGTTTTTCTTTTTGGATTTTGTGAACTGTTAAATACTCAACTATTAACTGAAAGGTTGGTGTATCAAACCCACCCAGAGGTGTCTTAGAACATAGGCCTGGTGATCGCTGTCCAAAAAAGATCAGTCTCAGAAACCCTACGGAACAGTTCTCTGTAAACATGAGATCACCATGACTCCAGGAATGGAGGAGTGGAAGGCATTCCAGGAATGGACTGGAAGGCAACTAACAACAATTGTGTTAAATAATTATTACAAAGAATCTAGCACTTGGTACATCAGTGTAGTGCAGCTGATCCTCTAGAACCTGTTGAAAGATTCTGATTAGTTTCATGACACATGCCTCCCATTTTACCTTCATCCCCGATATTTCCTGCAGGGACGCTGCAAGTACGCACAGCTTTTGCTCCAAGAAGCCTTCACTCTATAAATAAGTGTGTATCTTTGAGAGGAAAAATGGTGAGTGAATCACCAGCATACAAACCCGTACAGATCCTGTCCCAGACAAGCCTTAAGATCTTGGAGAAACGTCATCTCCATCAATCCCTCATAATCGATATTAACCTTGTACAACCGCATTACGTAGAATATAATACATATACTATGGTGTGATGCATTATGTATTATATTAATATATATGGTGTAATACATTATGTATTATATTAATACACACGGTGTAATACATTATGATGCATTATGTATTATATTAATATATATGGTGTAATACATTATGTATTATATTAATACATTATTAATACATAATGCATCACACCATATTATATGTATTATATTCTACGTAATGTGGTTGTACAAGGTTAATATCGATTATGAGGGATTAATGGAGATGACGTTTCTCCAAGATCTTAAGGCTTGTCTGGGACAGGATCTGTACGGGTTTGTATGCTGGTGATTCATGTACAACCGTCAAACTAGGGCTGGCCATCTCTTCTCACAAATCGTGACAAAAACTTCTGCCTTACAGACAAAGAAACTCCACCAAACATGCCTCTTAAATACACAGTCTTCAAATACAGTCCTTCTGAAATTGGGATACATACGACCGTGCTAGTTTCAACTCACGTTTCTGTCTCAAGAACTATAATCATTAAACGGGCGGGGAGGTATATTTTGCCCACCACAATATTACTTTTGTCTGACGAGCAACACCTAACAATAGTCCCGCCTAGATGAAGCACAGAAAACAAAGGGGAGTGGCGGACTGGAGGCGGCGGGTGTGAGGAATCTATGCTCAGACTGACTACCCTGGGCTCCCAAGAGGCCCGTGAGTCTGAATTTCTCACAAACGTCCAGGCCAAGCAAACGCCGCTAGTCCTGGAACCACAATTCATCTTAGCGAGGATTCATATGATATTACCTGTTAATGCACCGCAAGATCCAAGCCCACCCCACCTACTCTGACTTCCCGAACCCGGCTGCGCAGAGGGCGCCCGCCACCCAGGTGGGTGCGGGCGGGGTGGGCCGGGCTCTGGGAGCAGACGGTGGCAGCAAAGCAGCTGTGGCGGCGGCTAAGCAGCCGTGGCGGCGGCGGCGGCGGCGGCGGCGGCGGCGGCTGGAGGCCCCGGCACAACCCACCTGGAGGAAGTCACGCGGCACTGGAGCAGCCTAGGGAGGGCGGAAAAGCCAGGAGCGTACAGGAGCAGCACTCTTAAACCCAGCCGAGTCCTCTTGTCCCGTGGCTGCATCGGAACCGAGCCAGGTAGGACACTTAGAGAAACAAAACCTATCTCAAACAACAGCAGAATCGCAACCAAACATGGCTACCGGCCATGGACGTGCATTTCCACATCCGGTTTCTGCGACTCTCAATACGAAAGGGAGGAATTACTTGCACGGAGCCGGAGGGCTCCACCTAGTGACTCGGTGTGGGTGTGGGTGTGGGTGTGGGGTTTGGGTTGAGTGGCTTCCTCTGGGATTTGGGATCTGTTCACAGTTGTGTTAGTTCTCCATACAAAGGCCTGAACAAACCAAAACCTGTTGCCCCCGATTCGACTCACAGCGACCCCTTAAGACTGAATAGAACTGGCCCATGGAGTTTTTAAGGCTGCAAATCTTAAATGCATATATGAGCTTATACCTGAATTTCAGTAGTTAAAGATTTCTGCGGGGAGCAGAAAAAAATTGGTGTTTGCAAATTTGGTCACTTGAAAAAAATTTACCATGTTCTTTAGAGAAATAATTTGCTTCTCATAAATATTTGCTCAGCTTTAGAACACTTGGCTTCTGAACTGTTGCCCGTTTTATGGTTTGTTTTCCTTGCAGATCTTTTATCTTTCCCCAGGAGTAGTGCACCAGATATGCAAAATCTAATCTGAAAACTGCCTCCATGGAGAGTATCAGTCCTTCGGAGGCAGAGTACATTAACAATACGGTACTTTTAAAAATGAAAATGATTAACTGCTTTTACTATCTTAAGGAGATCTGATGGCGAGGTGCCTAAGGCATTTGACTACTAACCAAAAGGTTGGCGGTTCAAACCCACCAGCCACTTTTGGAAGGAAGATGGGACAATCTACTTCTGTGAAGATATACTGCCTGGGAAACGCAGTGGGGCTCTCTGTGAGTCAGAATCAACTTGATGGTAGTGAGTTTAGTTTGGTATTGGTTTTACTATGGTATAGGGCGTTGTTGTTGTTGTTGTTATTTGCCATCGAGTCAGCCCCGACTCATAGTGACCCCTCCTTGGGTTTCCGAGGCAGTATCACTACGGAAGTAGGATTGCCCAACCTTCCTTCCGATTTACAGGGCATACCACATATATAATAGAGTGCATATCACAAGTGTACAATGCAATGAATATTTACTTATGTATATACACTCATAAAACCACCTCTAAGATCTTCAGTTGATGTTAAAACAACCCAACCCACTGCATTTGAGTCGATTTTGACTCATACCAAACCAAACTCACTGCCGCCGAGTCAAGTTCGACTCATAGTGACCCCTCCTTGGGTTTCTGAGACAGTATCTCTACTGAAGATGATTACCAAACCTTCCTTCTGAGGAGTGGATGGTGGGTTTGAACTGCCAGCCTTCTGGTCAGCAGTCAAATGCCTTAGGCACTACGCCACCAGAGCTCCCTTTTGACTCATAGCGATCTTTTAAGACAGAGATGAACTGCCCCATAGGGTTTCCAAGACTGTAAATCTTTAGGGAAGATGTCCCCCCATGTTTTGATTAGCAGCTGAATACTTTAACCACTAAGCCACCAGAACTCCTCCACTATAATATTTGTGAGATTTTATCTATATTGTTGCATGTAGTAGTTATTTGTTCTCTGTTTGTTGCTGTGTGGTATTCCGTTGTATGAATATAACATGATATTTTTAAAATTAATTGCCTGTATTTAAGGTTTGTATTCAACCTAGGAGATGACATATACATTGCTGAATGTTTAATGAGCCTTGACACTAATGTGTCTTCTGCTGTTATTGGGTGGAATGTTTAATAAATGTGAATTAGGTTAAGTTGGTTGGTAGTGTTGTTCAGGTCTTCTATAAGCTTACTAACTTCCATATCCTTATGATTTTTTTCTATTTCATCTTTTAGTTCTATCAATTTTTCCTTCATATATATTGAAGATCTGTTCTTAGGTATACATACATTTTGGATTGCTATGTCTTCTTTTTGAATTCATCCTTTTATCATTATGTAGTGTCCCTCATTATCTCTAGTAAAATTCATTCTGGTCTTCCTTCCTTGCTAATTATATCAATTTCTGAGAGTGAGAAACCTGACTCTCATTATCTACAATGTCTCTGTATTCATTCACCTTTAGTGTTTATAATTATTCAATCTGTATGCTGAGCAAATAATCTGAGAAGCTGGACTACATGAAGAAGAATGTGGCAGTAGGATTGAAGGAAGACCTGAAATACGCAGATCACAGAACCTTGCTAGCTGAAAGTGAAGAGGACTTGAAGTACTTACTGATGAAGATCAAAGACTATGCCTTCAGTATGGATTCCACTTCAACATAAAGAAAACAAAAATTCTCACAATGGACCAATAAGCAACATCTTGATAAATAGATAAAAGACTGAAGTTGTCAAGAATATAATTTTATTTGGATCCAAATCAGTGCCCATGGAAGCAGCAGTCAAGAAATCAAATGATATAGTGCATTGGGTGAATCTGCTGCAAAAGATCTCTTCAAATTGTTAGAAACAAAGATGTCACCTTGAGGACTAAGGTGTGCCTGACCCAAAAACCAGACACACTGCCATCGAGTTGATTCTGACTCATAGCAACCCCCTTTGAGTTTCCAAGGCAGTAAATCTTTCCATGGAGTGGCTGGTGGGTTTGATCCACCAACCTTCTAATTAGCAGGCAGGTGCCTTAGGCACTATGCCACCAGAGCACCTGACCCAAGCCATTTTCAGTCTTCTTATATGCATGCAAAGCTGGACAATGAATAAGGAAGACTGAAGAAGAATTGATGCCTTTGAATTATGGTGCTAGCAAAGAATATGAAATACACCGTGGACTTCCAGAAGAACAAACAAATCTGCCATAATGCTTCTTAAAAGGAGGATGGTGAGACTTCATCTCATGTACTTTGGCCATGTTATTAGAAGGGACCAATCCCTAGAGAAAGACATCATGCTTGGTAAAGTGGAGTGTCATGTAAAAGAGGAAGACCCTCAAAGAGATGGATTGACACAGTAGGTGCCACAGTTGCTCACATGACATCAATTGTGAGGATGGCACAGGATCAGGCAGTGGTTTGTTCTGTTGTGCACAGAGTCACTATGAGTCAGACCTGACTTGGCAGCACCTGACAACAATAGTGTTAATAATTGAATCATGACCCCCCAAAATGTGCATTGTAAACCCTAACCTACACCTTTGAGGTAATCCTATTATGGAATATGGCATTTCATTGTTATGTTAATGAGGCTGTATCAGTGTAGAGTGTGTTGTAAGCCAATTCTTTTTATTTTATTTTTAAATTTTTATGGTGATTTGGGTGAAAGTTTACAGAACAATTTCATTTTCCATACAGCAGTCCTTACACATTTTGTCTCATGTCATTAACTGCAATTTCCCACGGTGTAACAGCTGTCTTCCCATTTCCTCCCTTTAGTTATACCTCTTCCCTGTGTCCTTCCCTCCCATGCACTCCTGCCCCTTGAGTGGTCTCCCCATGCATACACTGTCCTTCTGTTCACCCATGATTAGTCTCTCCAAGAGTGTACCTATCTGATGTAAATGTTCAGCCCAAATGCCAGTCTTTTATTTGGCTGGAAACTTCAGGGGTTTAATTCCAGACCTGAAGGGCAGCTAGGGGCCATAGTCTCAGTGGTTTCATCAGGCTCTATCAGACCAGCAAATCTGGTCTTTTTTTTTTTTTTTTTTTAATGATTTTGAGTTTTGTTCCACATTGTTCTCCCACTCTATCCAAGATCTTCTGCATAGATCTCCCTCAAAGGGGTTGACGGTGGTAGCCAGGCACCATCTAGTTCTTCTCGTCTCATGGTCCTATAGGCTAAGGATGGCAGGGTGTGCCAGTGCCTTAGAATAATTGTTTCCATGTATCTTTGATTTTCTTCATTCTTCTTTAAGCCGATTCTTTTTGAGATGTAAAAGGAGCAGATGAGACACACAAGCAAGGAAACCCAAATGGAGAAATATTGATGCCACGTGGAGTTCACCAAGGAACCAAAGAAGAGAAACTGAAAGAGACGAGTGTTTTTCCACTAGAGCAGATAGAAGTTTCGCGGTCTCTTTTGACATCCATTTTGGTCTTTCCTTTCTTTCTGTATTTTTAATAACCTTTTGCTTTCTTCATATTTGTTGTGTTGTTGTTAAGTGCCGTTGAGTCATTTCCGACTCATAGTGACCCCATGCACAGCAGAACGAAACACTGCCTGATCCCGCGCCAGCCCCACGATCCCTGCTATACTTGAGCCCATCATCATAGCCACCGTATCAATCCATCTCGTTGAAGGCCACCCCCCCTTTTGTCGACCCTCCACCCTACCAAGCATGACATCCTTCTCCAGGGAATG